GCAAGAGACTTACATGTGAAGTATTATTTAACTATCTAAAAGAGACATTAAATAATTAAACAAATATAAAGATAACTACATTTCAATAATCCTACATTTAGCTTGATATAGATTTTTCCGACCAAGTACAGGCACATGCATGAGCACATACAAACATACATATACCATTTTGAACTCCTTTTCTTCTTCAAACTCTGAGGACTGAAATAAAGTCATGTTTATTCTTATACCTTTAAATGATAGTTCTCAGAATAAACATGTAAGTTATATTATTATTTCTTTCATTTTCTTTTTCGTTAATTTGTCTTTGGCTATAACATTTCAAAATGTTGCAACAGAATGGAAAAAGATCTTTTTTTTTTTTTTTTTTTTTTGAGGATCATTCTTAACTGAAACTCTGTACCTTTACAATTTTTTTTTTTTCTGAGACAAAGTTTCACTCTTGTTAGCCAGGCTGGAGTGCAATGGCGCCATCTCGGCTCATTGCAACCTCCACCTCCTGGGTTCAGGCAATTCTCCTGCCTCAGCCTCCTGAGTAGCTGGGATTACAGGCACGAGCCACCATGCCCGGCTAATTTTTTTGTATTTTTAGTAGAGATGGGGTTTCACCATGTTAATCAGGATGGTCTCGATCTCTTGACCTCGTGATCCACCCGTCTCAGCCTCCCAAAGTGCTGGGATTACAGGCGTGAGCCACTGCACCCAACCTACAATTTGTATATTGAAATTTATTTCATGAAATGAACTTGTTTTTCCTTGAATCACTTATTCTAGTACCCGTATGACTGGTCTTTCCCATTTTTTCCAGTGTTGTTGATACAGACAGGAGGCAGAGAAATACTGGGTAAAAAAGGGCCGTCCCTGGAAGGGCCTTATCCTCGAGCCTGGAACCACACCGCAAAGTGAGAATTTTACATCCCTGTTTTCCCACTTGAATGTTGCTTTTTCCAAAATTACCCTGGCCTGCCCTGCCCCCCATCAAGTACCCATAAAAACCCCAGGCTCCACTGGCAGAGGAGTGGCAGAGAAGAAGCAGCCAGACATCAAGAGAGAAGCAGATTGACTTCAAAGGGACAGCTTGATGGCAGGACTTAGGGAAGAGACTGGTTGGAGACAGCCAGAATCCAGGGAAATACCAATTTCCTGCTCCTTCCTGCTCCATCCCCTTTCCAGCTCCCCTTCCTGTGCGGAAAGCCACTTTCATCATCAGCAATAAAATCCTCTGTGTTCTCCACCCTTCAATTCATTTGTGTGACCTGATTCTTCCTAAACACCTAACAAGAGCTCCAGAGCCACAAGTGTGGATGCCTGAGCTGTTTAAATACTTAAGCCGTCCATGAATGGCAAAGCCAAAAGAGCACTGTAATACATGGCCTCTGGGGCTCCAGGGGTTGCGAGTACCCCCCTAGACACTGTCCTGGGGTCACACTGAGTTCTGCTCCTGATGACACCCAGCACTCCTTCTAGACCCTGCACCCACTCATCTGTGTGCTCCCCCTCCCACAAGGGATTAAGAGCTGCAGGCTGAGTAAGTGAGGTACTCCTGTAGCAAGGCCTTCAAAGGGGTCAGCAAAAATTTCCTGTTTACATGATTTTCTATTTCTCTTCATAAGATATTTAAACATTCTTGAGTATCTGCATTTTTGTATTTGATTTTTGTTCTTACCAGCCTCTTGTGACCATTTTTCACTCTTTATAGCATTTCCACATTGTGTGCAGTCCTTTGGTTTCATAACTTGTTTTGTTTTTAGCAATCATTGTTTATTTTTTTTTAATGTATCAACTCATTCAAGCCTCCTTCAAGAGTTTGTCCTGCCCCTCTCTTAGCTTTTCAGCCAGTGTTGCACAATTACCTTGTTGAATTGGGGTCACTGTATTTACTTAGATTTGCTTATTCTTTTCTAAGCCTACACTGTGGGTTACTGATTTTCTTTTTATCAGACCATGCTATTGTTTTTCTGTTAAAGTAGCCAGGAGAAAGAATTTGGACCTATTTTTAATCCACCATCTTTCAGAAAGTCTCCTGTCATGGTTAAAACTTTTGCGCCAGTCTAAACTCTTGCTCTTGACATTTTTTCATCTTCTTAAGGTTCTTTTCCCATGCCAAGTGTCTTGAAAGTTTAGCTTTGCATAAATTTTTATATCAATTTTTTTGTTCTAAAAAAGTCATTCATTTTTATACCAACATAAATACCATTATTACTTCTTATAATAGCTAGCACAAGGTTGCCTCATCTACATAAATTTAATGTTTCAAATTTTTTTGAGATATTATCTTTGTTAAAGAAAACTTGAAAACAACTTTGTATATACTTTTATAATCATATTATAAACATTTATACTTGTTGTTACAGAAATGTGCATAAACACACTTTCAATGTCCAGGTAATATTCCATTAAAAGTTGGCACCATTTCTCCAGAGTTAGACATTTAGTTTGCACAGTTGTTATGTACCGCTTTGGTCTGCTGAACCTGCTTTCCTTTCTCTTCAGGTAATTACACTCTCTTACTCAACCTTCTTTTTGGAAAATTGTCCTTCCTTTTCCTCACACATGGTTCTGATGGTACCAATCACAGCACACTGGCTCCAGCCTGACTAATGGGAAGGCCTATGTCTCAAGCCAGGTAATCATAATCCCTGTGGTTCTTTGGACTTAGTACCAAGAGTGTGTACCTTGGCTCCTAGTACCAAGAAGCCCTTGTGACTTTGGTTTTTCCCAGGTTATATCACCTGAGATACATTTGCTGCTAGTGACAGAAACCCTAACTAGCACTGGTTTTTAACCTGAGAGGCAATAACATTTACTTACTTTTTACTAAGTAAAAAAAAAAAAATAACTTTTATTAAGTAAAGAAGTGTTAATGACCCTAAGGTAAAAACCACTGTGCCTTCATAAAGATAGGCTGAAGTCTTAACTCTCAGTACCTATACCTTATATGGAAACAGAGTTTTTGAAGTTACTATGAAGTCATTAGGGTGGGCCCTGATCCAATGTAACTGGTACTCTTATAGGATGAGGAAAATGCCTTGGAAAGACAGAGACACACAGGAAGAATATCATGTGACAACAGAGACAGATTGGAGTGATGTAGCTGCAAGCCAGAGAATGACAAGGATCAAAGGAAGCCACCAGAAGACAGGAAGAGGCAAGAAAGGATTCTTCCCTACATATTCTCCCTTTCAGAGGGAGCAATGCCTTGCTGACACTTTCATTTTGGACTTTTAGCTTCCACGACTATGAGATAATAAATGTCTGTGATTTTAAGCAACCCAGTTTGTGGTACTTTGTTGTGGCAGGCCCAGGAAACTAATACAGTAATGCATTAAGATCCTGCAAAATCCACAAGAAACAGAAAAGAAAATCTGTTGTTATAAGTACATTGAGACAAACTGGTCTATGAAATCATAGGCCACAAAAGCTTGTATTCATTCATTTAAAAATATTATTTAATGCTTCCTATGTGCCGAGAACTGCAAGGTGGCAAAAGGCAGCATGACCCAAATAATGCAGTGCAAAGGCTTTGCTATAAAGATTACTGTTATTATTGCGGTGTTTTAACAAGTGTCACTATTTATTGAATACTTATTACAGGCCCAACCTTATGTTTATTCTTTTCAAGACATTATCTCAGTCAATTATGTCAACAACCCTGTGAAATAGTTTTGTTATGCTGATATTCCACATTCCTAACAATAACTAAAGCTCTCAACGAATGATTCATTTTATGTCTTGTTAAATTAGAACCACACATGCAAGAGACCTAGTGTCAGCCATTGGCACCTCGGTTTTTGCGAAAATCTCAGATACGTCTCCATGCTTCGTGATTAAAATAATTGATCCATTTGTTCCATATAAATGCATCAAAGACCCACAACAATCTTCTCTGCCTGCTGTGGACATGGCCCAGGACGTTGGGTTCTCCATGTCCCACACCATTGGATCATAGTCTGTGTCCACAGTCATTCTCACAGCAGACTCCATAGCAAATTTCTTTTGCAGGTCTGCATGGGGACCAAGCCTCTTTCACATGCTGGTCAATTGAAGCTTATAAGCATTCCAGAGTTTATACCGGCATAATAAGAGAATCCGAAACCTTCCAGTCCCCAGTGATTGCATAATTCAATGCAGATTGTGGTAAATATTGTCTCATATACATAGTTGTATGAAAACAACAATTAAAAATATACTTTTAATTTTAAAATGTCTTAAGATATTTATGCTTGAGAGTTGAAGCCTACCTAACTATGATACAGGCACAATATTATAGAAGATACTAATTGGAGCCTCCCCAAAATGATTCTCTATTTTAATAAAACTGGGAAACACTACATAATAGAGGCTCTTTAAAGTACTGCTCTCAGGAAATCAATTTAACAAAGCTTAACTCAGCATTTTCCATGCTTGTTTTCAATTAGATGTGTGTGTGTCTCTCTCTCTCTCTTTCTCTGAATTATCTGAATTATGTATTAATGTGCTTTAGGACAGTGTTACAGGACATTAGTTATGAATTACTAAGTTAAAATGCATTATAAAAGTGTCCCTAAGATGCTCACATGAAAATAAAGAGCAATATAATAGTGGGGAGCATCGCAGGAAGAAGGATCTGACCACACACATTGCAAACTCTGGGTAAAGGTTCATTGGCAGGAGGATGGGTCTTTAATGATACCCAACAGATTTTTATTACAGAATCAAAAATAAAAATCATCTCACATTATGACTTTTTTGTAATTTATGGTCGTGAATTTTAGCAACTCTGAAAATTTTTCAAAAAATACCATTTATCTCCCAGAAACTCCTTAACTAGGCACACTGCCACCACCTGGTGTAGGTGTCTCATAGCCGTGGGTTCCAAATGATAAGGCATAAACCAAAGACTTAGTTGAAATAACCACAAGCACTTCTTCCCCATTTAATGTCGTGTTAGTTATAGAAGTTGCTATAAAGAAATACCCAAGACTGCGTAATTTATAAAGAAAAAGGCTTAATTGACTCACAGTTCCACATGGCTGGGGAGGCCTCAGGAAACTTACAATCATGGCTGCCCGGGATGCAATCAGCTTCTTCACAAGGCAGCATGTGAGAGCTGTGTGAAAGAGGAACTGTCACTTACAAAACTATCAGATCTCATGAGAACTCACTCACTATCATGAGAACAGCATGAAGGAAACCACCCCATGATCCAATTACCTCCCTCTCTCAACACATGGGTATTACAATTGAGTTGAGATTTTGGGTGGGAACACAGAGCCAAACCATATCAAATATTAAAGATATAAGTCTTAGTTAATATAGTTTAGTGAAAACTGTTCAACTAGGCACTTTGTCAAGAACAATGCTAGACACCACACATAGAAAAAGCAAAACATATTTCCTATCCTTGAGGGACTCATAGTCTACCAGGAAAGACAAAGATATGACGGATGGGAAGAATGGAGTAGTTGAGAGTTTTGAGGGAGGGAACAGACCATGTGCCTGAAAGTTTAGAGGTGGGGGAGTTTACTGAGAAGGTGGCAATAGAACTAAGCCTCGAAGGATGAGTGAGAGTTTCTCAGAAGAAGAAGAGGAAAGAACACATTTAAAGGCACAAGGGCCTAAAGGATGACAGCAAGCTCAGAGACCAGTAATTAGCTCTGTAGGGTTGAGGCATGGATTGGTAGGTATATTGGGTGGTGGTGAACAATGAGAGTGAGGTTGAAGGGTAGGTTGACGTAAGTTTAAAAAACCTATTATAGGATCCAGATCCACCACTGAATTGGCTGTGTGATCTTTGTCTGTATGTCATCTACCTTTTCCAGATCTCATATATTCAGTTAAAAGCACAAATTTTGGAGGCAGATTCTCAGGCTTTAACATAGATTCGTTCTATGATCTTAGACCAGTGACTTAACCTCTCTTTGCTTAAGTTTCAACATCTATAAAATAGATGAAACATTGCTGAAAGGATTAAATGTAGTAATACATGTGCTTGACACAAAATAAACATATGTCAGTGTTTGTAACTGCTGTTGATGATGAGGATATTATTACATCATTATTACCATTATCATTTGAAAGGATATGCTAAGATAGTATATGTGAATGTGCTTGGTAAAGCAAAACATTATTATTATTATCATGCCAAATTATCTGTTAATCATCTTCTATACCAGTAGATCTTCATCACAGCTGCATGCTGGACCACCACAAACATCCACACAGATAGTGCAGCAAAAACAGTCAGAGGCATCGTTCACTAAAATCAGGAGTGATGGGAATGTCCTCAGTGTTGGTTGGAGTGTTGATCACACGTATATATACATATGTCCAAAAGCTAATAAAACTGCTCACTTAAGACCTGTGTATTTTTAAAAAACTTAATCACAGCTTAGAGTCATAAGCACTTCCTGGAAGTTCAGGCTTGCTTCAGATCAAAGCAGCCTCTGGGCTGCTCACTTTGAGTGGCTATCCTCATGACTCTCTCGTGGAAAAACCTCAAATGACCTTTTTCTCTCCATTTCTACCAGTTCTCTATCTCTCCAGGCAAAGAAATGAGGCAAGAAAACCCGTCTTTTTGTTTCTAGGTAAGAAGAGGTTTGGCTCAACCTGTTAATTTGAATCTCCCCTCTTCTCACAGTTGGCTGGCAGTATTGAGTTTGTCTCACCTTAGGACAGCTTTAGGCTCCCAAATTGTCCCAGGTTTCAGAATGCTTTTTTGAAAAGCCCATTTCTCTTATAAAAAAACAACACCTTAGAAAATCCAAGAAATTTATTTTTAACAGATTTTTAAAGTACTCTAAATCACCAATACCTCCCAGCAGGGCACAATGTAAGCCTCAGCCATCATTATCAGTCAAGGTACTGGGTCTGCAGTGAGCTGGGCACTGAACAAAGCAAGAGGCACAAATTAAGGATGTTTCCTGGGCTAAGCCCCTGGTGGGCAGGAGCCCTGTCTAGCTAAATTGCTTTGTGCCACACAGAAGAGAAGAAACAAGTGGTTTTCTTATATTAGTGATGGCTATATGCTCATTGCAGGCCTATAGAAGTGAGCAAAGGCCAGAGTTGTCTGGGGTGTTTGACAGAAGATTTTCTTGGGGCTAACTGAAGACCTAAATCCTCAAGCAGGCTGAAATTTCCTGGCAAAGGAATCATGGAAAAAAGACGAGAATTGCCTCTGAGCTCCAAATGCCTCACAGAACTCAAATTGATTTGCTTATGATCCTTGAAAGATATACCATCAACTCCTAATGGTTCCAGAAAAACTAGAAACAAGTGTCAGTTTTAGAGAGGTGTGGGCAAGCAGCTCCTCACACCCAAAGCCCCAGAAGAAGCCCACCATTCCTCTTTTCATCTACCCAGCCCTCTTTCATCCAAACTGTATTAGCCTAACTATGCCCCAGTGTGTTTGAAGAGAGATCACCAAGCAAAACAGCTGTGTGGGTCTTCCTTTCTCCTTCTTTTCTTCTCTCTCTTCCCTTCTCCCTCCCTCCATTTCTCTCTCTCTCTCCTCTCCTCTCCTCTCCTCTCTCGCTAAACCTTTTACACTGCAGTTGAACAAGCCCCTGGATAAAGACTTTATCCAAAAACCCCCTCTTTAAAGTTATTTCAAATTTCTCTGCAAGGCTTTCAGAAATCTGTTTGTTTGAGGGCAGAATTAGATGTGACCGGCGTTTTATTGTGACATAAAACCATATTTCTTCCCTGGAAGATTAAAAAATAAAATCGGTTAATAAGAAAAGCTGTCAGCAACAGAAAATGGCTGACATAATCCGTTTATCCTCCGAGCAATAAAGATATTGGTCCTTGGGAGTCTATCCTCTCTCTCATGTTATTTCGCCCAAAACATTATCTTCCCAGCATTCTGATGGATTAAGAAGTCATATGGGAGATAGCAGGGAAATGACAGATACAAAAAAATATATAATATCCTTTCATTTCCCCTCCTCCCTCCACACTCACTCATATTCCCTCTCTCCTTTTCTCCCTCCCCCCACCCAAAACACACACACACTTTATTTTCTCCTCTTTTCCCTCTCCCTGACACTCTCCCATTTTTCTCACCCTTTGGAAAAGAAATAGATCTTCCTTTACCCACAATCCAATACTCTGATAATCCTAATAGGGATGATGATGCAAAGTGGCTATGAAGTCAATTCCTGCAGAGTGTGTGTGTGTGTGTGTGTGTGTGTGTGTGTGTGTTTCTTTCACACATCTACATAAACACAGCTAGTCAAATGAAGAGATGAACCCTTGATAAGGGTGTTGAACACCTAGAGAGAAAGAGAGTTAAGCATATTTAGCCACACTGCTAGATTTTTAATCTAGGATTTCTGACAATAGCATAAATTTCAGGAACAAGGCTGAAAGCAGCAAAGCTAAAGGAAACAATAAAAGGAGCTTTGGAGAGGCTACAATTAAAATATTGTTTGAGTTTTAAAAGATTGATAAAGCCATAAAGAAAAGAAAAAGTACTGTGTAGCCAAACTTGTCTTCCTCAGTTCTCAATCAATGGTGCCATCACCCATTTTTTCTCATATACATGCAGGTTTTTCTACACAAAATGTTCCTTCCATTGTTCTAGGGAAAAGATTCTTGAGATTATCCATCAGAACCCTCAGGATACTTTTTAAACTGCCTTGCAAATAATACCCACTTCCTGGGATGTGAGGGAGGGATAATGGGAATGCAATTCGAAATTGTACAATGTCTCTGAAAGGTGCTCTTCCTTCCCACTACCTCTTTTTTGTGGCATAACTGACAAATAAAAAATGTATAGAAAGTGTGTAACATGATGATTTGATATACATGTACATTGTGAAATGATTACCACAATCAGCTTAATTAATGCATCTTCTTCTGTTTAGCAAGTTACTCTTTTTTCCACCCTAGTCTTACCACCCTCCTTTCTAACTCATCACTTCTTCTCTCAGGTGAAAAACCAGCACTTAGGTGAGTCCTACGAATTTTTTTTCAAACAACTAAATGTTTAGAGTCATACTGGCCAAGCTTTCATGAGAATTTGACCAAATGAGTTTACCGTTGGCTGGCATGTATACTCTCCTAGGTAAGATGACAGAAAGCTGTAGAAAGAATAATAAACACCAAGAGGAGGAGACGGTGAGTTCAAGAAATGATTATGGAATGGAGCATTTCTGGAAATGTTTTTCAAAGTGTCCATGAAAGTAAACAATTATGTATACATATATATACACACACATACATGTCTATAAAATATACCGCTCACAATTATTTTTAAGTTTTAGCAGCCCATCCTTGCCCAAGTTACCAAAATCAGAAAATAATAAAATTTACTATTTGTCTAACAGCTAATCCTCAGGTGTCTCTGTAACTAGAATGAATTCATGTGGGTGCAGGAATGAGAATGGACCAAGTTGATCAAGTTAAGGGTAAGAGAGGAGGTGATGTGAGGGAGAAGGAGAATGTGGTTTGAGGATTGCACTCCATAAATTACTCCTTTTTTCTTGGTTAAAGCATCTGACAATTTGCAAATGACATAATAGGAATGCCATCGGGGTGCTGGAAAATAATTTTTATTGCCTTCAATTAATATATTTCTACTTATTCATATCTTTCTGCAGCAAAAGTCCTTTGAGACCATATTTTTCTATACATTTTGAAAGCAAGTTGCTATCAAAGCTTTTAATTGCATTGTACAAGATACACTCACATAAAAATAATGATACCTACTCAAGACAAATATACACATTTTATTATAGCAAAACCTCTTTACTTAAATGGTTATAAAACCAAATGTTGAGCAAATGTCTACACCAATTAAAAACAGAGTAGATTTATGAACCACATTTACTGAAGCCAAATATTTAACTGAAGAAGAGGCTCTTCCTCAATTATGGGATTTTAGTAAATAAAAGCTGCTTGAATGTTAAGTGTGCTTGAATGCCATATCATGAAACTGGGATCATCAAATATTTGCATGTGATCGTATTGTTGATTGAAACAGAAACTCTGAATTAAATTCCTAGTTGACAAGTGACCATGCCTAAAACACAATTCATTTATTATTTCATTGTGTATGTTATTGTCATTGTGTTAAACGAGGCATCATATATCATTCTAATGCAAGGTTTAATATGGCCATAAGCCACTGCTAGAAACTGACTAGGAATTAGCTTGGAGTTGATTACAATCCCTGGATTATACACTTGCTTGTAACATTTATTCATTCTTCATTCAACAAACAATTATTGAGTGTTCACTGTACACTAGGTGCTATGCTAAGCACGGGGGATCTTCAGATAAACAGGACATGACCACTGACCTCTGAATGCCATCAACTGACAAGACAGACAGACCAGAGACAGATAATGATACTACAGTGTGTTCACTGCTCTGATAGAGGAGGTAAAGGGCTGGAGGGGCACAGGAGTCATCTAACAGAGGTGACAGGTTTCATCTCAGCTTGGAGATAGTCACATGGAAGCCTTTTCCTTACACATTACTAGCCTTCTCAAGTCTCCACCACCATCCTGATTTTGAGATACAGATGTCAGTGTCTCCTCCAGAGACTTTCCAAGACTTTTCTGCAGGGAAGTTTACAGAAGTCACTTTGGTGAACACATACTGTACCTCTGTTGTGGTTTACCTGCTCATCACTTGTCTAACCTAGTGGTCCCAAAATAATGACAAACGGTAAGATGAGGCATGTCGAACATAAATATGGATATTCTTTCTAAAATTACTTTTAAAGTTGAAGGTATGCCAGATTATTTTTATTACAAAAATTATAAACACCAAGACATTCCTAATACCTGTGTTGAATCCATCATAACACCGATAACATTATCAGAAATTCGAATATACCTATCTGTCTCCTCCTGACACTGTGAGATCCCTAGGATCTAGAATGGGTCACAGTAGGTGGTCTATAAATGTCTGACAAATTCAATCAAATATAACAGTTTTCCAGTTAATGGAAAGTATGAGCCACCAATGTTGAAAAAAACCCAGTTTGTCAAACACAGTTACTTTGTTTCAATGACTGTCATAGATTGCCAGGCAGTTGTTCTATATATGTAACTCTTCACCTGATTTTGGTTCTACTTAATTAAGGTATTCGGTATTACAGGTTTCCTAAATAGTTTATTTAGGTTACAAATTTATACAAGTAATTTTAGAATAAAATATAGTTCATGTAATACTACAACTAAATGGACAGAATTAAATCACTGATGATTTAGGGGGAAGTCCCTGTAAAGACCAAGCATCACTTGCTTAGAGAGTGTGCAAATGCCAGTTAACAACACTTTTTCAGGAAGTTATCAATGGAGTAAGAGAAGATTTCAAAATGAAACCCCCGATTTCTTCAGGCCTACCTGTCTTCTCCTGGGAGCTGGTTGGCAATTACTTTTCTTAGGAAACTTTCTCATGATATGAATTTGACTGAGCACACCCAGTAGTATATAGATATGTGTATGCTATTTTTTTATTGTTTTGGAGACAGAGTCTTGCTCTGTTACCCAGGCTGGAGTGCAGTGGCACAATTTCCGCTCACTGCAACCTCTGCCTCCAGGATTCAAGCGATTCTCCTGCCTCAGCCTCATGAGCAGCTGGGATTACAGGCACCTGCCATCATGCCCAGCTAATTTTTGTATTTTTAGTAGAGACAGAGTTTCACCATGTTGGCCAGGCTGAATTCCAACTCCTGACCTTATGATCTGCCCCCCTCAGCCTCCCAAATTGCTGGGATTACAAGTGTGAGCCACTGCACCCAGCCTATGTGTATGCTTTTATGAAGAAATTATTAATACTGTGTTCTGGAAACTCTACTAAGCATTCATTTAGTCCTTATCACAATGCTGTGAGTTAGTCAGTATAATTACAGCCAATTTACAAACAAAGAAACTAAGACTTCTCAGAGCCAGAGCTGGGATGCTATCTGTCAGATGTCAATGTTCTGACTCTTAATTGCTATTTCATACTACCTTCACTGGACTGATGTACAGAAATATTATGTAAACCTTGCAGAATGTAATAGCTTCTTCCTGGATGCATAAAACTTGAGAGGAAGAATGTGAACGCTATCCTCAAAGCCTTCTCTCAGTGATTTGGCCTCAATATTTCTCGAGCTGGATGTTTCAAGGTCTTTGTCATCCCCTTTCCTTGGTAATCTATTGGTGTTCTTTTTTTCTCCCCTGCCATCGAGCAAAGGTCAGTCCTTACCTCCTGGTCAGTCAGTAAGGACCTGCCATGTGTCTAGCTCTGATAGGTGGCACAGGGAATCAAGATGAATGTTGAGTAAAAAACATCTAAGTGAGCTTCAGTTCTAAAAAATATTCCAGATTGTGGATATAGAGCTGAAATGAGGAAACATGGAAACAATGTTTGTTTCCAAGGTTGTGATCAGACTTTATCCACGTCTTCTCTCTTCATTGCCTTTATTCCTCCCAGGAATGCATGATAAATAGCTAGAGGAGGTATACATTGCACAAGAAAAATTCTTGGAAAGTTCTTTCCACATCTCTTAACTTCTAGTAAAATTCTCTCCAGTTTCTGATGTCAGGCCCCAGTTGGGTCACTCTACCCGGGATTCAGTCCAGACCTCTTAACACAGACTATCTATCATGAACTTCTGGCTAACAGACTATGATTTTTCTGCTACATGCCAAGCCTTGTGTTAAATATAGTTTTCTAGTTAATGGAAACACAGGGCCTGGCATATAACAAAAAATCTTCTGTGTTATCAAATTCTTCTTTCCTTTGTTTTCCCTTAATCTATCCTTTGTTAAATATACATTAGAAAGCTTCCATGTTTCAAGGGCTATGCTAGGCTATGTGCTAGGGAAAATCGATGATGAAATTGAAACATGCCTCCAAACCAAACCAAGGCATTGATGAAAGGTCAAAGAATGAGGCTGTCATAAAAACAAAGTTGGGCTCTTCACAAAACACTTACTAATACTTTTTAAAAATAGCATCAAATTGAGAGTGAAAAACAGATACATAAAATGCTGGAAAACTACATCTCAATATAGAATAATTCTACACTCCTAATGCTTCCTAAGTCTCTTCAAGTTTCACCTCCATTTAATGAAACTGAAAATTATAAGTTGTGCATTATGGGAGTCATATATGCAAGATGACCATGCAGACCTTCAGTCAGTGACATCTACTCAGAGAAAAGGTCTTGGTCCTACATCAAAAATTTAGTAGAGAATGCACATGTATGTGTTTTGAGTTATATAAAATATTTAACATATGCATGCATCATTAAAGCTTCTATATGTACAGCTGTATAAATGTCAAGGGCTTGAAGCTAGTCAGGGCAAAATTACTGGGGGGCTTAATGAAGACATAAGAAAGCTTCCAAAAGTGTCATGTGTGGATTTGACAAGTGGGAAGAAGGTATGTTATGGTAAATTTTTAATATATTCTATTCAAATATGCTTTAAACAGGAAAATACACATAATTTTAAAAGTCTTCCACAACTAGGTTCAAAAGAACTGTTGGATACCTAATATTAAAAAACAGTGAATTGTATATAGATTTAACTAATTTACAAGATAATTTCCAGCTTGAAAGAGATAAGTAGATAAAGTCAGTGCACACTTTAAAAAAAAAAAAAGGTCACGAGAGGATCTGGGCAAGTTGGCCATATAGGAACAGCTCTGGTCTACAGCTCCCAGTGAGACCAACACAGAAGGTGGGTGATTTCTGCATTTCCAACTGAGGTACCTGGCTCATCTTGTTGGATCTGGTTTGACAGTGGGTGCAGCCCATGGAGGGTAAGCAGAAGCAGGGTAAAGTGTTGCCTCACCTGAGAAGCGCAAGGGGTCAGGGAACTCGCTTCCCTATCAAAGGGAAGCTATGAGGGACTGTGCCATGAGGAATGAATGCATTAAAACCCAGATACTACCCTTTTCCCACACTCTTCACAACTCGTAGACCAGAAGATTCCCTCAGGTGCCTACACCACCAGGGCCCTGGGTTTCAAGCACAAAACTGGGCGGACTTTTGAGCAGACACTGAGCTAACTGCAGGAGTTTTTTTTTAATACCCCAGCAGTGCCTGGAACACCAGTGAGAAGAACCATTCACTTCCCTGGAAAGGGGGCTGAAGCCAGGGAGCCAAGTAAGTGGTCTAGCTCAGTGGATCCCACCCCTATGGAGACAAGCAAGCTAAGATCCACTGGCTTGAAATTCTCACTGCCAGCACAGCAGTCTGAAGTCGACCTGGGATCCTCAAACTTGCTTGGGGGGCATCCACCATTACTGAGGCTTGAGTAACCAGTTTTCCCCTCACAGTGTAAACAAAGCCACTGGGAAGTTTGAACTAGGTGGAGCCCACCACAGCTCCACAAAGCCACTGTAACAAGACTGCCTCTCTAGATTCCTCCTCTTTGGGAAGGGCATCTCTGAAAGAAAGGCAGCAGCCCCAGTCAGGGGTTTATAGAAAAACTTCCATCTCTCTGGGACACAGCACCTGGGGAAAGGAGCAGCTGTGGTGCAGGTTCAGCAGACTTAAACATTCCTGCCTGCCAACTCTTAAGAGAGCAACAGACTTCCCAGCGCTGTGCTGGGAAGCTCTGCTAAGGGACAGACTGCTTCCTCTAGTGGGTCCCTGACCCCTGTGCCTCCTGACTGGGAGACACCTCCCAGCAGGGTTCGACAGATACCTTATACAGGAGAGCTCTGGCTGGCATCTGGTGGGTGCCCCTCTGGAACAAAGCTTCCAGATGAAGGAACAGGCAATAATCTTTGCTCTTCAGCAGCCTCTGCTGGTGACACTCAGGCAAACAGGGTCTAGAGTGGACCTCCAGCAAACTCCAGCAGACCTGCAGCAGAGAGGCCTCACTTTTAGAAAGAAAACTAACAAACAGAAAAAAAAATAGCATCAACATCAACAAAAAGGATGTCCACACTTAAACTACATACAAAGGTCACCAACATCAAAGACCAAAGGTAGATAAATCCATGAAGATAAGGGAAAACAGCACAAAAAGGCTGAAAATTTAGAAAACCAGAATGCCTCTTCTCTTCCAAAGGATCACAACCTCTTGCCAGCAAGGGAACAAAATTGAATGGAGAATAAGTTTGACAAATTGACAGAAGTAGGCTTCAGAAGGTGGGTAATAAACTCCTCCGAGCTAAGGAGCATGTTCTATCCCATGCAAGGAAGCTAAGAACCTTGAAAAAAGGTTAGAGAAATTGCTAACTAGAATAACCAGTTTAGAGAAAATCATAAATGACCTAATGGAACTGAAAAACACAGCACGAGAACTTCATAAAGCATACACAAGTATCAATAGCCAAATCAATCAAGTGGGAGAAAGGATATCAGAGATTGTAGATAACTTACTGAAATAAAATGTGAAGACAATATTAGAGAAAAAAAGAATAAAAAGTAATGAACAAAGCCTCCAAAGAAATATTGGTTTATGTGAAAAGACAAAACCTACATTCTATTGGTGTACCTGAAAGTACACCAATTGTACTTTCAGGGAGAATGGTACCAAGTTGGAAAACAATCTTCAGGATATTATTAATGAGAACTTCCCCAACCTAGCAAGACAGGCAAACATTCAAATTCAGGAAATACAGACAAGACCACAAAGATACTCATCAAGAAGAGCAACACCAAGGCACATAATCATCAGATTCACGAAAGTTGAAATGAAAGAAAAAAAAAGTTAAGGGCAGCCAGAGAGAAAGATCTGGTTACCTACAAAGGGAAGCCCATCAGACAAACAGAAGCTCTCTGCAGAAACCCTGCAAGCCAGAAGAGAGTGAGGGCCAATATTCAATATTTTGAAAGAAAAGAATTTTCAATCCAGATTTCATATCCAGCCAAACTAAGCTTCATAAGCAAAGGAGAAATAAAGTCGTTACAGACAAAGAAATGTTAAGACATTTTGTCATTGCCAGGTCTGCCTTACAAGAGCTCTTTTAAAAAGCACCAACTATGGAAATGAAAAACTGGTACCAGCCACTGCAAAAGCATATCAAATTGTAAAGACCATTGACACTATGAAGAAACTGCAACAACTAATGGGCAAAATAACCAGCTAGCATCATAATGACAGAATCAAATTCACACATAACAATATTAAACTTAAATGTAAATTGGTAAATGGGTTAAATGCCCCAGTTAAAGACACAGACTGGCAAATTGGATAAAGGGTCAAGACTTTACAGTGTGCTGTATTCAAGAGACCAATCTCACGTGCAAAGACACACATAGGCTCAAAATAAAGAGATGGAGGAATATGCAGCAAGCAAATGGAAGGTAAAAAAAATCAGGCATTGCAATCCTAGGCTCTGATAAAACTGACTTTAAACCAACAAAGATCAAAAAAGACAAAGTAGGGTATCACAAAATGGTAAAGGGATGACACAACAAGAAGAGCTAACTATCTTAAATACACATGCACCTAATACAGGAACACCCAGATTCATAAAGCAAGTTCTTAGAGACCTAACAAGAGACTTAGACTCACACACAATAATAGTGGGAGACTTTTAACACCCCACTGTAAACATTAGATAAATCAATGAGACAGAAAATTAACAAGGATTTTTAGGACTTGAACTCAGTTCTGTACCAAGTGGACCTAAGAGACATTTACAGAATTCTCCACCCCAAATCAACAGATCATACATTCTTCTCAGCACCACAGTGCATTTATTCTAAAATAGACCACATAATTAGAAGCAAAGTACTCCTCAGCAAATGCAAAAGAATGGAAGTCATAACAGTCTATCAGACCACAGTGAAATCAAATTAGAATGCAGTATTAAGAAACTCACTTGAAACCACACAATTACATGGAAACTGAACCTGCTCCTGAATGACTACTGGGTAAAAAATATAATTAAGACATAAATAAATAAGTTCTTTGAAACCAATGAGAATGAAGACACAATGTACCAGAATCTCTGGGACACAGCTAACCCAATATTTACAGGGAACTTTATTGCAGTAAATGCCCACAGGAAAAAGCAGGAAAAATCTAAAATTGACACCCTAACATCACAACTGAAAAACTAGAGAAGCAAGAGCAAACAAATTCAAAAGCTAGCAGAAGATAATAAATAAGATCACAACAAAACTGAAAGAGATAGAAACAAGAAAAACTCTTCAAAAATTAGTTAGTCCTGGAGCCAGTTCTTTGAAAAGACTAAGAAATTAGATAGACTGCTAGGTAGATCAATAAAGAACAAAAAGAGAGAAGAATCAAATAGACACAATAAAAATGATAAAGGGGATATCACTACTGATCCCACAGAAACACAAATTACCATCAGAGAATACTATAAAGACTGGTACACAAATAAACTAGAACGTCTAGAAGAAATGGATAAATTCCTGGACAAATACACCCTCCCAAGACTAAACCAGGAAGAAGTTGAATTCCTGAATAGACCAATAACAAGTTCTGAAACTGAGGCAGTAATTAATAACCTACCAACCTAAAAAAAAAGCCCAGGACCAGATGGATTCACAGACAAATTCCACCAGAAGTACAAAGAGAAGCTGGTACCATTGCTTCTGAAACTATTTCAAACAATAGAAGAAAAGGGACTCCTTCCTAACTCATTTTATGAGGCCAGCATTATCCTGATACCAAAACCTGCCAGAGACACAACTGAAAAAGAAATTTTTAGGCCAATAGCCCTGAAGAACATTGATGTTAAAATCCTCAATAAAACACTGGCAAACCAAATCCAGCAGCTCATCAAAAAGCTTATCCACCATGATCAAGTCAGTTTCATCCTAGGATGCAAGGCTGGTTCAACATACACAAATCAATAAACATAATCCATCACATAAACAGAACCAATGACAAAAACCACGATTATCTCAATAGATGCAGAAAAGGCCTTTGACAAAATTCAACAGCTCTTCATGCTAATAACTCTCAACAAACTGGGTATTAATGGAACATATCTCAAAACAATAAGACCTATTTATGGCAAACCCCCAGCCAATATCATACTGAATGGACAAAAGCTGGAAGCATTCCCGTTGAAAGCCAGCTCAACACAAAGATGCCCTCTCTCACCACTCCTATTCAACATAGTATTGGAAATTCTGGCCAGGGAAATCAGGCAAAAGAAAGAAATAAAGGGTATTCAATTAAGAAAAGAGGAAGTCAAATGTCTCTGTTGCAGATGGCATGATTGTATATTTAGAAAACCCCATCGTCTCAGTCCAAAATCTCCTTAAGCTGATAAGCAACTTCAGCGGTCTCAGGATACAAAATCAATGTGCAAAAATCACAAGCACTCCTATATGTCAATAACAGACAAACAGAGACTCAAATTATGAGTGAACTCTCATTCACAATTGCTACAAAGAGAATAAAATACCTAGGAATACAACTTACAAGGGATGTGAAGGACCTCAATATTGTGAAAATGGCCATACGGCCCAAAGTAATTTATGAATTCAGTGCTATCCCCGTCAAGTCAACTTTCTTCACAGAATTAGAAAAAAGCTAAATTTCACATGGAACCAAAAAGAACCTGTATAGCCAAGACAATCCTAAGCAAAAAGAACAAAGCTGGGCTGGGTGCAGTGGCTTATGCCTGTAATCTCAGCACTTTGGGATGCCAAGGCAGGAGGTTCATGACATCAAGAGATTGAGTCCATCCTAGCCAACATGGTGAAATGCTGTCTTTACTAAAAATACAAATAAAATTATCTGGGCATGGTGGTGTGTGCCTGTAGTCCCAGCTACTCAGGAAGCTGAGGCAGAAGAATCACCTGAACCCAGGAGGTGGAGGTTACAGTGAGCTAAGATTGCATCACTGCACTCCAGCCTGGTGACATAGTGAGACTCCATTTGAAAAACAAACAAGCAAGGAAGCAAACAAAGCTGGAGGCATCATGCTATCTGACTTCAAACTATACTGCAAGACTACAGTAACCAAAACAACATGGTACTGGTACCAAAACAGATATATAGACCAATGGAACAGAACATAGCCCTCAGAAACAACACCACACACCTGCAACCATCTGATCTTTGACAAACCTGATAAAAACAAGCAGTGGGGAAATAATTACTTATTTAATAAATGGTGTTGGGAAAACTGGCTAGCCATATGCAGAAAACTGAAAGTGAACTCCTTCCTTACACCTTATACAAAAAGTAACTCAAGATGGATTAAAGACATAAATGTATGACCTGAAATAATAAAAACTCTACAAGAAAATTTAGGCTAATATCCAGAATCTACAGAGAACTAAAACAGATCTACAAGAAAAATCAAACAAACCCATTCAAAAGTGGGCAAAGGACATGAATAGACACTTTTCAAAAGAAGACATTTATGAGACCGACAAACATATGAAGAAATGCTCATCATCACTGGTCATTAAAGAAATACAAATCAAAACCACACTGAGATACCAACTCATGCCAGTTAGAAGGGCAATCGTTAAAAAATTGGGAGACAACAGATGCCAGAGAGGATGTGGAGAAATAGGAACACTTACGCTGTTGGTGGGAGTGTAAATTAGTTCAACCATTGTGGAAGACAGTGTGGCGATTCCTCAAGGATGTAGAAATAGAAATTCCATTTGGCCCAGCAATCTCATTACTGGGTACATATCCAAATGATTATAAATTATTCTATTATAAAGACACATGCACACTTACGTTCATTGTGGCACTGTTTACAATAGCAAAGACCTGGAACCAACTCAAATGCCCATCAATCATAGACTGGACAAGGAAAATGTGGCACATATACACCATGGAATACTATACAACCATAAAAAATGATGAGTTCATGTCCTTTGTAGGAACATAGATGAATACGG